GAGGGGAAGCGCAGTGATTTACCAGTTCATCTTACTCCTAAATGCCTGACCCAGTGAACGAAAGGGTTTGGAGAATGCTGTGTGATGGAGCTGGGTGGGCAGATGTGCCCCAGGGCACACAGTGAAGCTGGCCTTGTTGAATTGCTTCCTCTGATATTTGGGGGTTTGGGTTACTCAGCAGCCTCCCTGACAGTACTGCTGGTGATGTGCCAAGCACTGGAACTGCTCATGAGCCATGCACAGCTCAAGAGGGACAGACCAGCAGGGTCCTCCAACAGGAGGACATCCTCCTGTTCTCAGGCAGGATCATACCTGCATCATTCCTGGCCAGTGTTTGCACTGACTTGTTTTAAATGCCTGAGGACCCCATCCAGTGATCTGAAATTCAATGCACAGGAATAATCACAGATGAGTGGATCCACTTTTTTTTAATCAGAGGCAGAGGTGTAAGAATAAGGTCTTGATATTAGCCTTAAAATTACAGAAAGTGTCTGACTGCTAGGGAAAATATTGCACTACCTGCAGGGCTACTATCTGGCTGTTCATATTTCAGCCCATGTAATTCTCAGGTGCAACATACAGAGAAGAAGAATCTTGTTGCTGACTTATGAATACAACATGCATGCATATATGCTTAAAACCATTCTATATATAGCAGGGATCCGATTGCTCTTGTCTATTAAAAGAACCAACTGTATCTAAGCACCTGATGTGCAAGGTCCAGGGCAGGAACACAATCTAAAGAATGTGCTACCAAAACCCAGGCCCAGAAAGTTCAGTTTTATAGCTCCTAATTGGTGGGGATGTACTTTACTGCTTAGATAACCACACAAAACTGACATAAAATTTTCACTGAACAGTTTCCATCACTATATGCTTTAAAAATGTCTAAATTTCATAGGGTTTTTCATAGAATCATAGAATCATAGAATCGTTTAGGTTGGAAAAGACCTTTAAGATCATCCAGTCCAACCATGACACTCTGAAAGACTGGTATGCCTGACTCAAGAGCCCAAAATAACACTCAGCAACTTCCAAAGAGTGCAGATTATATGGATCTGATGCTGCAAACACTTTTACATAAGAGCAGTTTTGCTCAGATGACTTGTCCTTTCCTGGTCGGAAAGATTGTTTCCTGCAACAAGTTCTTCTGTGAGAAAATCACATTGGGTAGGACACACTTTTGAAGTTAAGTGTTGAGGCATTTAAATACCTCTACAAATCCTGACACAGTCTCAAGTCACATAGGTCAAGTATATTTTTAACTGCCTTGCTGAATAAAGTCTATCAGTTGCTAAAGTTTTATCAGGTATTTCCTCTGCAAAACACACATGTCTATTAGTGACAGTGGGCAAAGGCTACTGTATTTGTGATTATTTGAATCTTGGTTATTATGGCCAGCTGCTTGTGATTTGGAATCTGGGTCATCCACCACCCCCCTTCCTCCACTTAGGTAATACTAGATTTCAAACCACTCCACCAATCTTGTAACCAAATCCTAGCAGATTTAGTTACAAGATGGGCAGATCTATGCCCAACCATTCACTTTTATAGTCCTATAGGGCATGATACTGGTACACTGTCAGATGTTCGGGGCATTGTCTACTCAATCTAAAAAGGTGATGAGATCACAATAAATCATACTTAATCTAAAGAAATCATATTAAATCTAAAAAAGATCAGATTAAATCTAAAGAGACCATGAGATCATAATCTAAGACTTCTGTGGCCACTGGACAATAGGCCATTCCTTTAGATTTTTTTCCAAACAGCTTCTGTTCTTGTTAAGGAGGTATTGTTTATTTTACTGTTAATACACAGAGGTTTTGAATAGCTTAATGATACTTCTGTTTTTTCCAAAATATATTATATTTTTCCAAATTTTTGCCCTTGAAAGAAATGTAAAACGAAAACTCACATACTACTATTGATTGAGGCAAAAAAGTGATAGAAACAGATTAAAGTTGTACTTTAGTAAGCTCCTCTAGTTGATGTGTATTTGGAATAACCATTATTAAAGTTTCTAATATCCTTAAATACGATATTCAACAAGTAGTGAAGAGTGGGAATTCTGCTTTCATTCATGCAAATGCAATTCCAGAGAGGTCTTTGGCTTTGTTCCTGAGTAGAAGAGCACATTTAATTTTTAAACTCTTTATTGAATGTATCCCTTCGATTGCATATCTTTCCAGAATTCCCAGTTGTCCAGTTAAACCTTAATCACTAGGTCAGCTATTATTTCCATCAGTGCCAACTGGGGTAAAATATAGCTCAGTTGGAACAACAGTATTTTAGACTCACCTGGTAGTACCATAAATTAATGATACAAAGTGAAACGCAGAGGCACATCCTTCCTCTAGACTTGATGCTAAGCTGGTGTAAGATCAGCTTTGTTCCTCTTAATTCTACAGATCCATGCTGAAATGTATCAACTGATGGTCAACACAGCTGGCCACCATGTCCTGCTTAAAAACTGGGATGGATTACTTAGAGTCTGGGTCTGCAATGATATTTCCAAATTGCCACTCTAGAGCACAGAAGCCACATCTCATAAAACACTGCAGTTGCTAATGCACCTATCTACAAATGGGTAGTAACATGTGTCACTACCTGATGCTAACCCTTCCCCAGAGGTTTAGGTCCAGTACCTGAGGAAGATTGGGAGAGACAGGAGTGGCAAGAAGAATCAAGAGAAATTCTTCCAATGAGGTCCTCATCACAGGTCTCCCTCAACTCATCTTCACAGCTGGCAGTCAGGCTGCAGTCTTCACCCTCTTCCTCATCACTAAGAGTTACCTCCAATGCTTGGGTGGCTTTTTCTTGATGACCTGTTTGCAGGCACCTGGACAACATCAAGTATTACACCTTTAGCTAGCCTTTGAGCTGTGAATATGCAGCCAGCCAATTGCAGCTTGGCATGGCCACACAGGCAAACAGACAGACAGTGTATTTAGTTACCCACTGTGATTTCCCACTTTCCTGGAGATATGGAAAATCATTCTAAATGGATCAGCCATCTCAGCTGCCTGTGTCTCACTATCTGAAAGTGTTCTAAAGTTAACCAAGTTAAATGCAGCAGATTTAAAATACTACACTGTGAAGTAAGCTTGGAGAAATAAAGCCATTTTTACTTCCAAAACAACAATTATCTGTCTATGAGATGGGGGGATCTCAGCACGGCATTATTTTCCTTTCAGCTTTTCATTGGTTAGGCCAATGTGATGCTTGCAGAAAACCTCACCCACTTTCACTCTTTCACCGTCTGAAGGAAGACACTGTCAGGACCAAGAGTGTCTTACCAGTTATGAAAAGTAATTTCCTTGCTCTTGCTAAGCAAGTGAACCCACCCTGCCTATGCTGGTCTTCAGCCTGCTCTAGAGAGGTCAGAGCTTCCCCCAGGTTTCTTCTCCCTTGCCCACCCCACAGATACTCCAGTGGGCAGGACTGATGGAACGATTGCCACCGCAGGGACAGGAAGGCAGGAGGCCAAGACTATCCCCTGAAACCACCACCAGGTGGCCAAAGAGTTTATTTTATTATTACAGCAGAAAATGAATGCCCGTTTTACTGCACGACAAGATTTATCCTGTGGTCTCACCGCTTGGGCTGCTCTCTCCGTACTCTCAGTTCAGAGAACACATCTTCCCGGTGCAGATCTCTTCCTCCTCCAGAGCTGTAAAGGTTTTCCATCCTCATACCACAGAGTTTCAAAGGGCTCACTACAGGTGGCTGCAAAAATGACAGAAGTTATCTTGCTCTCCCCAGCTCCATTTCTAGATTGTGGATTTTAGAACGCATCAAAGTCCACTGTTACTCCTGAGTTTTCAGATCACCCCTCACCATTTTCTTGCTCTTCAGTTTTAAGAAGCCCCATGCCCGAGTCGCGTGCACTGTTACAGCTTGAGGAATCCAGGGTGGCAGTAACTAAAATGTTGATTTATATCTTGCTGGTGTATAAGCCTGTAGCATCTATGCCAATAAGTACATTAAGACCAGTACCACAGAAACTGAATAATTCATCATATGACCGCAGTCCCCTTCCACGTCTTAGTTTATAACACAGTAATTTACACAACTGTTCAACTTTGTCTCAGAAAAGCTTCCAGTGCTCCAGCAGTGGCTGCAGAGGGACAAGGGAGGGACACATTTTTTCCAGTGGTTCCTTAACATCTGTTGTCAACATTAAGTGAGGCTGCCGACAGCGCAGCAATGCAGGTGTCCTGTGCATGCTCGTTCCCTGATTTAGCACAGCCTGTTTAAACGTATGCACGTGCATCCATGCTGTGTTGAATCTCAGGGCCCACAAAAGCTAACCATGACAAGCCAGACTGTACCCCCTTACACACATGGGTATCCTCTCACTAAGTTACTGCTGAAATGAGCAGGCTGACCCACAGAACTGGGGTGCCACCCCACTGCCAAGAGGAACAAACTTTGGCTTTGTGTTTGTTTGGTCAATAGGAACGACCTTGCAGCATTAGCGATCTAACTGTTTACGCCAACATCAAAGAAACACTGCTGAAAAAAATCTTTTGCTTAATAGCTGTTGTAGAAATACTATAAAATTTTGCAGTTCTGACTTGTATTTTGCTCAGCCAGGTTGATAGCAAATGTGCTGCCAGCAGCCAATACGTGATTTTCCTCTGTTCCTTTACAGCTGATGGTTAATTGCTGCTAGCACATGGGCACTTTTGTAACATCAGGGCAAGAGGGTCTCCGTCCTCCTCAAGGCCAGTTCCATGTTGGGGGCTTTTGGGGTACAGAAGACAGTGAGCTGCCACAAGGCACAGTGGGAGTTCAGTTTATCCCAGGATTTATGGGGGTCACCAGGCAAGAGTATGAAGTATACAAGAAAAACATACACCTAGCTTTTGCCTCCTTGCACGAAGGGCCTTGGTGGGGTTCCCACATATAACTTGACTGAGTCCTAAGAAAAAAGGAAAAAAGAAAACATTTTACTCCAGCATTTAACAAATGGTGCTATCTTTGAAATCAGTCAACGTCATTTCCCATAGATGGGAGGATGTAATATTTCATGGCGTAGGTTCACAGTGTCAGCTGGCATGGCCTGACACTGCTGCTAAGAGGCAGTTTCTCTGTTTCTACCAGAATCTGTCTCCTTCTGCTCCTGTCCTGCCTCCTCCACTGTGCTGATACAAACATTTGTGTGGCCACATGCTGAGTCAGATCAGGGAACAGATCCAGATTAAAACTAAATATGCTTTTTTTGTTTTGTTTTGTTTTGCTGGGTTATTTTTCAGCTAGATCTTGATCAGAATCAGGTTCCCCATGTGGCTATGCAGATGCTCTTGCCAAAACAAGAGACAAGGCAGCAAAGGAGCAGGAAGAAGCAGTGAACATGGGGTGAAACTGTCTCTAGCAGTAGTGCTAGCTACCTAAAAGCGCACATGAAATTATGGTCTCATTCCCTGGCAAGCTGTACTCAGTTTCCATGCACTTTTCTGAATGAGCACTCAGCTATTGACACTGTGTTGCTTCATCTAGTTCATCATCCTGAGTCCTACCCACAGCAAGGAACTGAGGTGGGACTGGCATGTGAGAGAACCAGCCTACAATGCTGGGAAAACAAACACCATCATCCTATCTAATCTGCATTCTATGGGCTGGTGGAGTTGCACCATCAAGGTCTTTCCAGGAGCCATGAAAGGATGTCTTGGGAAGTGCCAAATATTGTACCAGAAGTGAACTCCTTTTCCATCCAGCTGTCCCCAGGAGGTGCTAACTTGGCAGTACTTCCAGGTGGCCAGGGCACAAAGGGCAGTAGTACGCCTGTAGATTAGGTATGTGAAGTCAAGGAACTGACTCCTCTTGCTGAGGGACCCACCTCTAGAAACCCAAAAGAAAGTGCTCATTGACAGCAGTGATGCTGCTGCAGTATTAGACTGCAGTGCACATAGTTTGAGCACATGATCCAGTGGGGAGTGAATGTGTATTGCCATGCCTTTCTAGAGGACTACATTGGACCACATTCCTGTGACTGAACAAGATGTGCCCAGATGCGACTTAAGTGAGCCCCAGTTAGGCTGATGTGTAATTTAAAGGACTGAGCATGACAGCTTTTCTCACAGGTGTGAAAGGCAACTTCAGCAAGGGAGCACCATTGCAGTATGGGGGTGTCAAGACGGACATAATGCATGGGGGTGAGCGGCTGAGGAGGGGGAAGCCCAGATGACTTGCACCTTCTGCTGCAGGTGGAAATAAAGGAAAGCCCACACTAGAGCTGGTGAGTCTCATGGATGAAAACATATGCTGAACCTGATGTAGCAGCAGCATGGGTGGGTGGTATTAAAAGCACCCAGGCTTTCATCAGCAATAATAACATTCAGAAGGAGGTGGAGGTGTGGGAAAGAACAGGATTAAAAAACATACATTACCATGTGTCAAATCACTAGAGTCATCTTCTGGGAACAGCTCATCAGAAACAGTGGGATCTGGGAGAGGACAGCCACTGTACAACAGGTGGGCATTGCAGGATCTCCCTGCATTAGCAGACCACTGTGCAGTTCCAGGTCTGGAAGTTGTCGGGGGTCTTTGGCTGCATCCAGACTGCCTTGCTACTGGCCCAAGATATGGATCTAAGAGAGAAGTTTCGCTAGTGTAAGCACAGTCGTGCAAGGCTTCAAACCACACCATCACCATACACTGCCAGTATAGTGACTTCTGCTGCACACTTGGAGCTCTAGGGGACAGAAAAATCTGTCATTGCAGCTACAAAAAACGTGTTGGAATGGGTGAAGCCTGGCGACAGTGGGCTTGCTGGTGCTGCACACAGTCCCCTGTAGCTGTCCTCTGCAGACAGCAGAACCTGGGGATTCCCAGCTAAATCAAAATCCCTTCCCACCCTCCTCATGCTCCTGGGCACCAGGGACAGGCTGCTGGCTGAGGATGGGGTCAGGAACCACGCTGTGCTCGCCACCCACCTCTGATTACCCCACGGGTGATCCTGGATGTGTCGAGGGCTCTGCTACTTCCCCTGCCTGCATGCCTAGGGTAAGAGGAAGCTGCCTCTCATTTGCTGCCCACCTGCTTGCAGGGGAACCACTGCAGACTTGCCACAGTCCAAGCCCCCTAGTCTTAAAACATATTGCTTAAATTCCCAGGCACAACACAGACAGTGATGGCCACCTTATCAGAGCTATTAGTCAATCAGGGCAAACCACGTAACCAGGAGTTATGGAAATCTGGAAATGGCAGTGATAGGTTTTTCCAGTATTGCCCCAGAGACAGATACTTCTCTACCACAGAAAGAAAGGTGAAAACTGAATTTTTGTAATGTTACAGGGCAGGGTGGATTATACAAAAGCTAGCGAAGGCAGACAGAGCCTTGTCCTCCTACCTGCCCAACTGCCGGCTGTCCTGGGAGCACAGCACAGCTGTAAGAGCAGTATGTGCAGCCAGCAACCCACAGGAGAGCAAATTTCATTTTGGTGCCTAGATTAATAGTGTGGTCTGTAAAGCGTTGAGCATCTACCAGCTCCACAGTAGAGCAATCAGCTCTACAATAATATGGCCATTTCCTTAAGAGCTGAGTGTTAGGGACCTTTAAAATATCTTGGCCATAGTTGTTCATACAAACCCATGAAATACACAGTGCATGAAAAGTACCCAAGTCAACACTGCTATAAGAAAGAAAAAACCATGGGGATGTCAGAACCTGACCCAAATAAGCTCATCAGTTTAGAGCTGAAGGCAAGAATATAAGTCTGGTTACACTAGGAAACCATACGAATTCACAATTTTGTGCTCTGTCCCTACTGTTTCTGTCAGCCCACTTTGTTAACTGGTTTTCTGAACCATAGCTCATGTTGCCAAAGAAAGATCACTGAGGGATCAGATTTTAATGGATTTTTTTGCTACCATAACCACTATTACAACTAATGATTTGGACCCACAGGGATTAAATAAATGACAAACGTATGTACTTATTCCAAAACAACCTAAATTTTTAATGGAGTACAGTTGGCAGGCAAACCACAACTGGGGGGGACTGGGAAGCCAACTGCACTGCCCACACTAATGGGAAGCAACAGAAGCAGTTATAGGAAGTACTTTGTAATTTTTAATGGTACGTGGTAAAGTGCATGTAGCATGATATGTAAAAGCATGGACATCTGAACTATAACCAAGGCTACAAGCAAGGGGACAACAGGTTTATTTTCAAACCATTTACTCTCTACTAATGAATGTAACGGACTTAATCAGAGAGGCAAAGAAAATGGAACAGATCTATTATGAGACCACAGAATCTCAGTTGCTACCATTGAGGGGTGGTGACCAAATTGCCTTTCCTATTACGAAATTGGAGTAGGAAATCCTGCTACATCCATGCTACATGAGATTGACTGCTACCACAGAAAGGGCTGTGAACGGCTGTGGTTGAAACGTTCCTTTCCAAGCTTTGCTTCTTCCCATCATGCAGAATGAACAGTAAGTACAGATTCCTAGCTATTGCTGGATTTGCTTGATGCTCTAGAAGTCACCTGCATTTTTCTGGTGTTGATGCCCAGCTTAGGACAGCTTTCATTTAAATCTGCACTGTGCTGAATTCCAGCTTCCTCACCTCCCAAGTGAAGAAGACAACATCTTTCATCCCTTTGCTATAAACGTTGGCTTTGAAGAAGCCAGCTTGCTCTTCTTTCTTTCTCACACATCATAACCTGAAAAATGAACTCTGATAGGAAACCTGACATACCTAACCATGAAATGTCTCCAGCTAAACCACCTTCCTTGATGGATTCCTTGATGATTAGCCAATCCTTATGCATCTTCTTGGAAGGAAGGAGAGCTGTCTGGCTTGCTGGTATTTCATCCAAATACTCCAAGTGGGGAATGAGTTTTATTACTTCAGCTCTGTAATTATAATCTGGTTCCTGGAGAATTGAGAAAGTGGTCACTTGAACAGTTTATTTAACAGACTGTGGACTTCCACCAGCAGCACAGCAGTGTTCAGTTTGTATGACTGCCATAACTCGAAATGCCTTCTATGAGGCAAACCAATTCACTTTATTCAACAGAAATAAATACAGTCAGGAGTTTCATTTCACTGTGCTTTCTTCTCAAATAATTTCTACTCAAACTGATTGTGAACATGTCCTGAGCAGTGCAAACACATGCCCCCCCCACAAAGGCTCCTTTGCTGTTTACGCACTGATGACTTTGGTGTTTGTTATATTATGTATAATGTACAAAAGCGTAGGAGGCCACTGATACTCGTGGAAAACCTGGGCACCCTCAGCATTCAGCCAGCCTCTCTCCCAGTTTTTGTGATTCTCTGGTTGCTGCATCAATACTCAGGTGATAGGAAGACTTGAAAGCATGTTATGAGTGTTGCTACACCTGCTGATGAAAAAAGAAAGAGCATTAACATGGGTTATGTTTTTAGGCACACCCATAAACCAGCTACAGCAAATGAACTGCACTGATTTTCTGGGGCAGTCTTCAGGGGTTCAGTGTGTGATTTTACACACTGTTAGAAGCGATGGCTTACTTTAAAGTACGTTTTCTTCTGCAAGAGGTTGCATGCCAACAGCAGGTTCACAGAAGGCTAAAATGGACTGCACTTGGATTTCTTTTCTGTGTGCTGGAAAAACAATGTGATTGCTCCCAATGCACATGGACTCACTGTGACAGCCGTGGGGGAAAGCATGGGTGCAGCCCCCTTCTGAATGTGTGGGTGGAGCTGACATATTATAAAATGATTCATGAGCATATGCCAATGCCTGAAGACCTCTGAGCTGCAAGGCCAATCCAGAACAGTTACAACTGCGCTCAGAGCATGCTGCAAACTGGGCTGTTTTGGTGGATTCCAGCAGTAGAAAGACACCTTCACGTGGCACCTTCATCTCTGGGAAAAGTTAGCAATACCTCAGGGCTGACTGGGTTGTGCTGTTTTGCAATGGGAATATTTTTGGTTAAAATAGTCTCAGACCACAAAAGGCACCAAACGGTGATGGCGATCTCTTCTACTTAAAGAAAGTATAAAGCAAGAGTGCACTGCTACTGGCAGAATATGAATGGACAGCTACCTACAAAACAATTGCTTCATCCAGAAAAATACTACGCTTTTTAAGACATTGCATGCAATATTAGAAAATCCCACAGAGCCAAGTCCTCATTCAACACAGAGCTATCATATACAGAAATCTTTCTGTGGGACCTGGCTGGCTGCGTGCTCCCTCCCTCCACACAATGCGACACCAAGGCTGGCAGAGGGAACTCACCAAATAAAGCGTGTGTTTGTTGTTGTTAAGAGGCAGACTCTAAATTTCTCTAACTAAGCCTTTAATCTTAATTTAGAAAATGAGTCAACCAATCACCATGCTACCCTGTACCACATGTACTCTGAACAGTGCCTGGCTACAGCCAATTTCCAGACATGTCCTGTTGGAGAGAAGCATCATGTTACGCTCATGTTACATTACTGCAACAGATGCTGCAGAATTTATCATCAGGTTGTGGCTCTTAGTTTAGATAACAGGGGAAGATGAGCTCATCTGAAAATCAAATTATAGAGAGCAAAGAGGCTGACTGAAGAAAGAGCAGTAAATTTAGCTGGACTGTTCTGTAGATTAAAAATAAATAAATAGGAGAGCTTTTACAGAGCTGTAGCAAGGGCCAGACTACAAGAACAGCTTGAGGAATTAGAGCTGGCCATCTAGGGCACACCAAAGTAAGCCCACATCTATTCTTTTCTATATTTCAGGTGACTTTTCTATACCCTGAAGAAATGCAAACAACATCAGTTGAAACCAAGAAAGTGACAAAGCCCGTGGAGAAGCTCTTGGCAGCCGAGGGCAGAGTTCTCTGTAACCACACCAGGGCTGAGCAGATTCCCAACATGGGTGGGAGACTACAGTGAACTACAGTCTGCCTCTGTTACAGCTCAGTGTAAAACATACCGTCGTGCAGACTCCCTCACCAAGTTCTGGCCGGCATTTGAATGCAACTACTTGCACAGGAGTAGAGACAGCCACGTAGGGCACACCACCACATACCTCTCTGAACTCTCCTCTTTGAAATCCTGTTACATGACAACACACAGCAGCATCCCAAGGACTGATTTCCTCAGCTAAACAAACCAAGGGCAATCTGACATTTCTCCATTACAAGTACATTTAAGGACTAAAGACCAAGTGAAAACTACATCCTCCAAAAATACCACTTTCGTTGAACAGGAATGACAAGGGAGTAGAAACAGACTTTCTATGCTGTTAGGACATACTGCACCATTTTCATGGTAGGAAGCTGTGATAAGGAAGTGTCAGAAGTTGTATTTGTCTCCGTGGGAGTAAAAGAGTAAGTAGGCATGTTTTGTCCATCAGAAGCAGGCAGTGCTTCCTTACTGTAGGAATGTTTTTTATTCTCATGATTGCATCTTCCGTAAGGGAGAAATGTTGATGGAGAAATCATTTTGGTTATAAACAGTTACAAGTGTGGTCTCTGAAGTATATTTTTACCAGTTCAAAACAGAAGGGCAAGTGTATACTATTTTCTTTTGGATTCCAGAGAGAAAAATTATGATAGCCTAAAGCACTATCTTATGTGGCTCCTTTTACTGAGGGATATGATCAAGCTAACAATTACATCTGAAAAATGCTAATAATTCATATCGCTAAAAAGAGTGAAGATTAAAATATGTGCATATCTACTACATTATTAAGTTTTAGTGATAGCACCTCAGTTTTCAAGTCCAGTACAAATATCAAACCCAAACTTTTATGCAAATTAACAGCATGGGCGTGATCACTTTGAAATGCACAGTGACGCTATGGAACATGGCACAGTGGAGTCACAGCACCAGCTCCTGCTCCGCTTTCTAACCCCTGTGTTACCAGCTCTTTACAGCGCCATTGGGGATTGCGCCATCCTTAGTGAGTGCTGTGTATTGCATACCTATGTGTGTGTGCGCATGGGCCTGTGACCTTCCAAAAGACCTGGATGACAACATATCGTGTGCTGGACATAAACTGTCACCTGATGATATGCATTAGATATTATGTGACCAAAATGAGGAACAGTCATATTTGACCAAGTTTTTTAAACTCTGATTTTTCTCCTGTTACCTCTTCAGTACATGCCAAGATGCTTGTTTTTATATCCCAACAATACTTTCTAACCTGCTGCAAGATCCCTACAGGCTAGAAGGATCCATACAACTGGGGTCTGTGTTCTCCTTGGTCTTCCTTTAAGATGCCTGTTTGCACTGCAAGCTAGGAGAAGACAGAACAGCTGTATGGATCAGAACAGCTGATTTTTAGTTTAATCTCATTCTCACAGGTAAGAAGAAACACAGTGCTAGGAAACAGGCCTGAGTCTTTACTAGTACTCCTTGTATTTCATTTGTGCTACTCTTGGAGACAATACCCATGAGAGGACAAAATCAACAAATGAAAGATGGGAAATGCATCCCATGTCATCACCCAGAATGATACAATAGGAAGATGCAGAAATGTTTCTCATTTCCAACCCAAACTATAAAAGCACTGCCAAAAGTTAACACAGTATGTGCAAACCAAGTCCTCACCTCTGCAGATTCTGCATTTGGCTTCAAACAAATAAGATTGCCCTCCACTGTCAGGCGGCTCAGCTTGCAACAAAGTCCCAGGTACTGCATCTGGTTGATGTCCTTAATATTGTTCCCTTCCAGGTCCAAAACCTCAAGGTGATCCAACCAGGTCAGCTGGCTCAGGTCAGAGATATTATTATAGGCTATGTAGAGTTCCTCAGCAGAAGTAAACAGAATAAATATGTATACCACAGGCTTGTACAAGTAACACTCAAGCTTTGCAAAATGTTTTCTAATATTTGAAATATTACATGGCACAGCATGAAATTAGCGTGGAAGTTAAAATTTTTCAGGTGTGGCTGTTGCTGCCTTAAATAACTAGGGCTAATACGGCAACGAATGCTATGCTGCATTAGGCATCTTCAGGATCAGACCTGAATGTTACGCCTCATTTAAAAAAAACAACTGTAGCGTCTTTTAAACTAACACATACAATACAAGGCATCCAACCAAAGTCCTTTAGAAAAACAAAGGGTAAGAAGACAACAAAGGCTACAAGTAAAGAGAAGAGTATCAACTGAAGATAGTTTTGAGATTGTTGTTCAGCAGCACGCATCTATACTTACTTTTAGAGAGCTGCAGGAAGAGATCCCATCTAAATCTGAGAGCCCACAGCGAGCCATCCACAGGATGTGGAGATGGGACAACGTGGTTCCAAGATCCCTTATAAAAGAAACAATTCAAGCTTTATTTGAATGGATGAAGAAACTCAAGACTTGCTTTCTTTTTTGTAAGACTTGGCCACTGCTACTTCCTTCAAATCTCACATTGTTTACAAGAAATGTCATTAAAAATGTTCACCTTCAAAGGTGGAGAATAAAATTATACCCCTCTCTACCTCTCTCTCACACAGATATCATTGTTCTTGTATGACAACATGTCACCCCAGTTCAGTTTGATTAAGATTCTTCCAAGAGCTACATCATGGTAATTCTGTCATAAATTGCAGGTAATTGCTAAGAATTAAGTGAGGTTTGCTTATGCTGGCATCATTTGCTTTACACACATAACCCAAATTAACATATCTGAGTTGATTGCACAGTCACCTCACTCTGTCCTTTTATGGAGTTACCTTTCTTCTGATTTTGTGGTTGAAAGGAATAGCACTCTTGCCAAATAGCAGTTTTTGAATCAGCAGAAAATTATAATCCTTTCCATCTTATTTTCCTACCCTCTAGGTCTAGCAAAATATAAATAAGGGTTCATTTGTATGAATTCCAAACTTTCTGGGCCTAGCCCAGAAAAGCACATACTGACCTGCTTAACTCCATGTGTAATGTCCCACTGACATTGCAACAGTGCATAATACAAAGACAGTACAAAATGCCAAAACGGTGGCAAATCAAACTGGGAGCTTAACCACCTTCCACCTTTGGTAACATTAAGTTGCATAAAGCCACTACTCAAACATAAACAAAATACAACACTTTATCAAATTCCAAACCAACCAAAAGCTCAGAATTCTCTACCGTAGCCATATGTATCAGACTATCTGAATACTAAAGAACTAAACAGTGGGGAACTAAATACAAGGACAGTTTATCAGAGGAGGCAGAGACTAGCATGGAGTTCACAGAATCGGCAATAGTTAAGGTTGGAAGGGACCCCTGGAGGTCATTGTGTCCAACCCCCATCCTCAAGCAGGGCCAGTTGCCCAGGACTACATCCAAACAGCTAAAATAGTTCTATAGAGATTCTTGGACTTCAAAATTGTGGATTAGCTATCTTTTATAATTTCTATTTTTATAATACACATTAAAATAAACAATACATACTTTAATGCACTGCCTAGGGAACATTGCAGAAAATAAAAGAATATGGTCACGGGGTCCCTTCTGATCTTGGAATAAAGGTAACAGTTCTCTTACTCATGTCTTCTCTTTATGGACCATGGGGAAAAAGAGCAGCTTTGCATTGCCCCCTGAGAAGCTCTTGCAGCTTTGATGCAGTTTTGCTGCAAAACCCCCTACAGTTAAATTGCCTGCTTCAGGGACACTGCACAGCCAGCCAGTCGAAGAGGTCAGGAAGGAGTGGTTTTACAAGTGGGGATAGGCGTATTCTTGTCTGTGGTTTTTGTTGTTTCTCCACCATCTGAACACTTGGGAAGGGCCACATCAGGAGAAAGGAGACTGCATAAGACTGAATAAAGGACAGATGCATGGAAAAATATCCCCAGATGCCTCTCTTCTGTGATTTGCCAAATACAGGGTTGAATAGTCGTTTCTAGGGTGAAATCAGGGATTTTCACCCCTCTGCCTTCTGGGGCATGGTTTGTCCACAGGCGTCATTCAGACCTATCTCACTTCATCCATCCTCTACCACTGTGGGGGCCCCAGGCACTGGGTGCCTCTGATCATCTCTTCCCTGGATGCTGCAGATTTAAGTAAGCTCATGATGGATACACCATACAATGTGTTTATGTAATGTTTTATAGCTTTTGGATTACAAACAGTGCAGCTGATCGAATGCCAGAACAAAGCAAATAAGAAAAGTCTCAGTCATACAACACATCTCTTTCTGTCTAAGGCTACTCCTCCTTACAGGAGAAAACCCTCAACTGACATAAACTGCAACTCTCCTCCACTGAATTTTGTGCATCTAGGCAGCTTGCCCATACTGACACAGGACGTCGCTGTCTAGTACAGACGCAAGGATAAAGAAAGCCACACACACAGAGAAACTCCCTTGATGTTTATACAATATGGTTCCTTCTGTGAACTTGATGCAAACTTACTTTACCTCATCCCTTAGCTATCAGGGCAATGAGGAACACTTGCCATTATGTCACTGTACCTGTGACCAAATAAGTCCCTAAAAAGATGGAAGTTTGCCACATTTCTTTCCAAGTAGTCATTCAGATTTGCCTGACATGAAGGATCATGTCTCTCTATGTCTTCATGTCCCCAGCCTTGCAGAAGATCTTCCAGTGACTATTTATGTTGTGCATATTTTATAAAAAAACCCAAACGCTGGTTCTAATGCTTCCTTAAGGAACAGATGCCTCCCAAAGTAATATTTACAGAAATTTATTATTAGATTTGCAAGCTGCGTGCCTATAATAAGAAATAAATTAAATTAAATTACAAAAGCAGAACCTACCATCAACCAAGGCCAACACATCCATAAACACAAATATGGCATTAGGAGTAATGTGAAGAAATTACATTGCTCATTTCATGATCCACTTCAAGCACTGATAAGTTTTGCAAATTTCAGGCTAATTTTGGTGCAGAGTTTTCTTTTCTGTAAACCACTGAACACAGGTAAAGGAAAGCAGTCACTTTCATTTTTGTATCATTGAAACAAGTGTTTCTGATAGACACTCTGTTTATTAGGCCAGCAAAACTGAAGACAATCTTAACCCGATTAATTTACATTTGGTATGGTAAGGTAGGATTAATGAATTTTATTTTTATTTTTTCTTTGTCTTGTACTTCCTAACTGAAGGTCTTTTGCCACAGAAGAATCTTTAAGTAATATGCTTGTTCCTAATGTTTCTCTGTCAATACAAAGGACGCTAAAACAAAGCAATGGATTAATTCCCAAGCAGTTTTTACACAAGGCCCCGAGAAGAAACAGCTATCCCCTCTACTGCTAAAACCTTGAGCACTTCATGCATTTTGAAGAAGCAGTCCCCTGCTCCTACTCAGAGGTCAAAGGGTCCCAGAGTTAAATCATATTTCCCTATGTGTGTTATGGTTTTCAGTTCCAGTGCTGGCTATGGCTAAACCCAGCGTACACAAACGGGGTCAGTTCCTGCTCACACCATCTGCTAAGTCACGCACAGCACGTATTCACTATGAATTATTAGCTAACAAGTTTTCAAGCGTTCTCCTGCTGCAGACACCATCACAAGATGATGCTAATTTAAATGACTTCTAACACCTATTTACCTTACTCTTCACAATTTATGCTGCCAAGTGTATAGTCTCAAATCCATTCCAGTTTCACTCACGGGTTGCAGCTCTGACTTTCCTACAGCTAACTTTGGCACAAGTCAGGAGTGGCATGTTTAAGGTTAATACTAATAAAAGTTCATTAGTATTAGTATTCCAGACAAAGGAATTAGGTTGTATATCCCCTGTCTTGGGTACTTGCAAAAGACAGAACTGCTGCATGTTTGCAGTGCAACCTAGTGTTTGATAATGGGGTCTTATTGTTAAAAAATGCTTATACAGACACTTCAGAAAAGAAAAAAAAACATGGAAGCTAATGGAACTGGTTTCTTACAAGACTAAAGCTAGCTGTCCCAAGCTCACCTTTAACCTATGAAACAAGATACTAAGAAAGCACAAACTTAGTTGTACTAAGTGTTTGGTATCACTTGGCCCACTTTTGCTCTCTATTTCAGGAAAGGGAGCTAGCAAGCCAAGGTACTTTCACCCCCTGCCCCCACAAGAAGAGCACTCCAGCTCTTATGGAGAGCAAGTCACTGCTGCCCCTTCTTCCCTCCTACCATAGACAGACAGCGGTGAGGAGAAGAGGCAAAAGGACTTCTTCCTCCACCCAGCCCTGATGGCAGAACTTTGCTGCTGACTTTAACAACCAGGAACAAAGTTGCCCTTGCTGACTCTGGGGTCACGCTAGCTGCTGGAGGAGCCTAAAATTCGGGATCATGAAGTCACATTTTGGCCCTGCAGATCTTTACTCCTGTGTCTGTAACGAGTCATCTCCAGTCAGAGATGTTATCACAGCAAAGTACATCTGCAAATATTTTATTCAGTAACTAACAAACTAATCTTTTGGAAGCTGCATGAATCATGCTGCAACATCAGAGAAAAATCCCTCATTAATTACTACACAGACAATTGCCCCTGAGAACATGGCTGTTGTAAGGTGAGACAGCAGTGTAACTCAAAGCAAGCTGCTCCTGACAACCGCATGCACCTGCATTTCTGAAAATACTTCTGAAATATTCTGGCTGGTGAGAAGAACACTTACGAGCTTGCAAGAGATGGGAGTGCCTCCAGCTCTACTGCATCTGGTGTGTCCACCTTGGAGGGGTCAGAGCAAAGGGAGGAGATGTGTGAGCATGCATGACCGCCATGTGCGTGCAAATGTGCACACGGGTATGTTTTCATTTATGTTAAGTGCAGAGGGTCAGATCAGCCCAAACTGGGGAGATGCCTCTTGTGACTTTTTAACAAGAAACGGAATTAACGGGAATCTGCACTCTGATAATCTACCAGGGTAAATTATTTTACTATGATAATAAACTCTTAATAACATTTTACATGGAGAGAAAATCCATTATAATTATACACGTAGTGTAACACCCCCCCCAAAAAATAATCATTGACTGAGACTAAAATTAATGAGACACACGTCAGAGACCAGAACCCTCCTGTATTAGGCATGATATAAATGTATAGAAAATGACAGCATCTATTGAAAAAATAGGGTAGAGAATATGATTGAGAAGTTTGACAGCTGAAATAGGAAAAAGATGAGACATTGTACAAAGCTGGTGGCAGTTGGTCATATGATGCAGCACAGCAGCGCCCCAGTGATGTGCAAACAACAAAGAGCATATAGAAGGAACCAGAGGACACTGTAGAGGAAACGTAGCTCCCATCAATATATACAATGGATAATTAAATTCCAGTGGACAAGTGTCCCATCCCAAGTGACGTGGAAGCTGGGAACTTTACAGAAAGAGCAAG